ACTCTTTAGAACTGACCCAGACTAAGTCGCCTACTTGAAACTGCGAGGGGCGACGATGCTTATTGGTTTGCTCTATCATCCTGTGCTGGGCCTTTCTGAGGTTTTCTACTACAGTAGCTAGTTCTTTTTCGTGTTGCACAGCAAACTCCCTGGTCCCGGGTGGCAATCTGTGAATCTGATCCCGGCTAAGTCCTTCAAATGGTCTACGGGGCCTAGAAGACTTGTGCAGTTCATTGGGAGTGCGGCAGGTGGACAGATGCACACTGTTATTATATGCACTAGCTACCTTAGGTAACATCTCATCCCAGTTAATCTGATCTGGCCTAATTAACATGCGCAGAACTTGCTGTAGGATTTTGTTCATTTGCTCTGTCTGACCGTTAGTCTCTGGATGGCGGCCGGACGACATCAACAACTTAGATCCGTATACTCCCATGAGTTCTTGCCAGTTCTGGCTAGTAAAGCGACTATCTCTATCGCTAACTATAGACAGCGGGATTCCATTCTCACTAACCCAACAGTCAAAGAACCTCTGTATGACTAAATCAGTACGCGCCTCAGAAGGCAAAGAAATAAAAACTGCGTACTTGCTAAAGCGGTCAACTATGACCATGACTTGGCTCTTGCCATGCCTGCTTTTGACTTTAGTGTCCATGAAATCTATTAACACTGAGTCTCCCGGCTGATCCGGAATGGGCAAGGGTCTGAGAAGACCTAACGGGGCACGCGTAGAAGACTTGTTTCGCTGGCAGACCTTACAACTGCGAACATACTCTACGCGGTCATTCTTCATCCCTATGCACAGCCGGTCAAAGACATTAGTCTTCTCAAATAGCAATCCTTCAGTAGTGCGGTAATTCAGCTCAGTCTCTGGGGCCTCTTTGACTTTCTTAAGGAGGTCACTATAGATAGGGTCCTGTGCATAGGCCTCTCTAACCTCTTGCTGCAGGTCTTTCCCTATATCGAGGTAATGCACTATCGCCCCGAAGTAATCTGCCCTCCTACTCAGAGCATCCGTAACTACGTTGTAGTTCCCCTTGACAGGCTTGAGCTCGAAGTCGTACTGATCTATCTTGGCGGCCCACCTAGTAAGCTTAGGTGTCATCTTGGCCTGCGTCTTTAACCATCGTAACGTTTCATGGTCAGAATATACTTTRAAGTGCCTCCCAAGCAAGTAGTGCTTCCARTGGTCTAACGCTTGCCTGARAGCGTAGAGTTCCCTCTCATAGGTAGATGTCGCGACCTTCTCTGAAGGCATTCTGGCGGACATGAACTCTACGGGTCTATACCCATTGCCATCGTCTTGYTGYAACACTGCGCCTATGCCGTACTRGCTAGCATCCGTAGTAACGACAAAAGGCAAGGACGGATCGGCGACCTTAAGGACCGGGTATTCTATCAATGCGTGCTTTAGCTTCTTCATGACAGACGTGCAGTCCTTGTCCCACTTCCAGATTGTCTCTTTTCTTAGCAATCTGCGAAGGGGCGCAGCGATGGTGGAGAAGTTTCTCACGAACTTCCTGTAGTAATTTGCTAAGCCCAGGAACGAGCGCAACCCTATCAGCGTACGTGGCGTGGGCCAATCTCTAATCGCTGTGATCTTGCTATCCTCTGGCTTAACGCCATCTCCGTCTAAGACGTGGCCTAAATACAAAACTTGGGTCTTCGCCCAATCGCACTTCTTTGCATTGATCTTGAAGTTAGCTTCCCTCAACTTTTCCAAGACCTGCCTGAGATGACCCTGATGCTCGTCGAGGGTCTTACTAAACACTAGAATGTCATCTAGGTACACTATAACAAATCTATCTAA